CCTGCCAAATCATCTTAGATTTGCACCAGAATTTGCCACAATGTTTAACTTGAGTTCAACTTGTGCTCCCAAAATTTGAGGCAACCGCCTGCGCATTCAATCCACAACGTCATCTTGATCATAGCCACTTGGTCAAAACTTGCTGAAATTTGCAAGGTGGCATTGACACTACCCATTTTTGGGCCATGGACCATGCCACCTTGTGGTGCCCCCCACCACAGACAACGATAGGAGTTGGAGATGTGCTTTAGCCTGTAGGTCAGAGCGGAGACACAAAGGCGGAGGACAAGCCACCAGCACGTCCTTAAAGATATGATCGAGATTCTCACCTGTCAATTCGTACTTCGTGCAAAACAATTGAGACCAACCGTAAGCAATTCTAGAATACAATGTACAATCCTATGGGAACGAATTTATCCCGCCGACTGCAAGGGAACTATGGACGTCCCCATATGCTGCGAGAACAACTGCATGCAAAGTGGAAAAGATCACCTTGGACTAAACACACTATTCGGGCAATGACAATGGAGGCCAAAATCCATACAACGAATTTGCATCAAGTTTTAAAGAAGATGGGCTACAAGAACACTCGAAGGTGGGACAAGCCATTGTTGAGCAAGAAGCAAAGAATTGCTAGAGTGTGGTGAGTTGTCAACCACATATCAGGCAATCGTTGAAATACCCATTTCAGTGATACGTGGCTTGTGGTTCACATTGACAAAATGGTTTTCCATTAGAGCATCTTTATCGGTGGGTGCTATTGTTCCGGCGGAGCTATTCAGGAACGGTTCTCATTGGCTGCCGTGCCACCTTACTAAGGTGGCATGTGCCAAATAGCACCGGTGCTATTGGGGAGCAATAGCACCGGGCGTGCATCCGTAACGGTGGATGCCTTGGGGAGCAATAGCACCTCGTGGGCATCCGTAACGGGGGGTGCTATTTGCATGGTTCGGCTGTCCCAAGGCCCCTCCGCTGTACTAAGGCCCCTCCGCGTTGTTCCAAGCAGCCGCCGCCAAGTGCTGCGCGAATAGCACCGGTGCTATTCTGGGGAGTTATTCGGTCTCGAGCGGAGCTATTCTGGCCCCGAATAGCTCCGCTGGGCGCCGAATAGCTCCGGGGTAGCTATTGGGGAGTTATTGCTCCCCAACCGTTAATGATGGTTTTTTGACGTGCGGAGCTATTCGGATAGCCGAATAGCTCCGCCGGAACAATAGCGCCGACCGATAAAGATGCTCTTAGGACAACTCAAGGGTATGGTTGCTACCAATGGAAGATTGGATCTTGCCTTCCTAAACCCAAAACAAGGGCTCCATGCCAAAGGTAACATTCATCGCAACCATGGCTCAGCCATGAAGCAGTGTACCACTGTATTGGTACATAGGGGTATAATTTATACGGTATAAATTATACCGTATAAAACCCCAGTATAGTTTGCAAGGACGACCCTAAGGTGACCAGCCCTTATAGGGCTACGGCCACGTTAGTGTAGTCTTAATGCCCTGCTATACCGGGGGCGGGTAAGGTGACCACCAATACTGGGGGTACCCAGTACCGGCTCCCGGGGAGTGGCCCCAGTCCTCACCGGTCTAGGGTCCGGTGATGGGTCCCGGGATTTAGGGTCTTCGAGCGCCCGCCCCCGGGCTAGCGGCTTTCTGCGCAACAAGCAGTTGGACAACATTTGGTTCAATAGGCTCTTGGTCATCGGTCCCTTTTTGGAAATGGTCTCCGGCGGGGACTCCCCGCATTGTGATCGTCAAAGAATGAGCCCCATAGAACCACAAAGATGAAGATTATCAATGCCACGGGTGAGGTGTTTGCGCATTCATGGTTAATAAGGTCCTGAACCTCTATAGTGGTCCAATAAGACAGAGCTTGCCTACATTGGAAAACGTCAATTCGACTTGAGCTTGGCACTGCTTGTGCTCCAAAGGTTTAAGATCATTGCTTAGACATTTTAGCATTCTTGGTCTTGGGTTCTTTAGGAGCCCGCAGTGACCCTCCAGCAGAATTCGTTTTAGAGGATCAATTGAAGATATTGTGCCAAACACAATAAAAGCTTCTGAAAGCTACCCTTGGGAAATGTTGGAGCATATGTGGAGGTTGCTCCTTGCAGTCACAACCTGAGAATACTTCCAAAAAAGGTTGCAACGCTTTTGACTTGCTGCACGTTGGCAAGGAGGCTGAGATGTATGATGGGAAGGCCGTGTTCTTGTGCCAAAGGTTCTTCTGTAGAGTGGATTCGTGATAAATGCAACATCATTCTTGAGGGGTGCCCTAACAAGGTTGAAGATGTCATTTTGATGGTGGCCAAAATTGGTTTCCAAAGATTTGGCATGTGGTCTTTTTGACACTATTTTGCGCATCGAAACAAGATTTAAACCCGGAATTCTGTTATTGTCCATAAGGGAAAAGGGAAGACACTATGTCGAAATTGGTATGCTTAGCGTCAATTTGAAAATGGTGCGTGCATGCGTGCATGCTTGCGTTGCCAAGACCCATGACGTTCAGAAATTACATAATTACCACAAAAACGACATAAGCTAAGGACATCCCTCAACGCTATTAATCAATGGCAAACAACTTAATTACTTAAAAATCTTCCTGAAGCGTTCAATTATCAAGAGAAGCTCTATTTTGCCTCAATTGAGAGCCTCTAGCAGGCCCCCCCTTGCTTGCCCCAACCTTTGAAATCCCATTTACAGCCCTCTACAATCGCTAAAACTTATCCTATTATCTTACTCAAAAACATCTTGAAAGTTGTGTCAGGCTATTAGGTAACATTGTTGAGCCATCTTGGCATCGACATAAGGGTTGACTCTTAGGAGAGGGGTGAGAGGGGTCTGATACTAGCATCAAATTGATGCTACGCATACCAAAATCGGCATAGCGTCTTCCCTAACTACAACTCAATTTGGGATGGATCATCTGTCACGGATGAAATATCAAAGAGGTGTGAAGGTTTCCGCCACCTCTTGTATCGACATCACGCATGTTAAGGGTATTGTGAAGCAGCCAAGCACAGCGAAACAGAGCTTCTCTCAATGCTTGTGATATGGATCATCAAGGAATGTAAACAGGTCTTCGAATGCCTCCTTCATGCTTGAACATTTATCATGGTTTGCAGTTGCAAGGACAAAGATGCAAGTGCTCAGCTGCAACTGCCATTCTTTGCAATCAAGTTCAGTAAGATGTGGCTGCCTCAAAGGAGGCGCATGGTAAGGAAATTCCACATAGAGTCCATATGTATACAAGAGACCTCGTTTGCATGAGCTTTTTCTGAGGGAAGCCAAAAGATATACAACGCTGCTTGCAAAAGCAGCAACATACCCATTCACAATCCTCCATACCCCATGAAATGGTTGCATTGTAGAATGTGGCTGCCCAAAGCAATTGAATGGTAGTTTTGCAATTGTTTCAAGGGTACAAAACTCATAGCCACGGTCCACTCAATGAGACTGCGGCATTCTGCATAGCCATCCATGAACCTCATATATGCTCTGGAAACGACTGCAACTGTAGTGCATCAAGCTGCATCCATATCAGCAAAATGTGAGGCTTTTTGCGTCCTCAGGTAGATATACACCAAATGTGAGCATCGTAAGCATGCCCCTGTTCAATGGGACAATTGCAGAATCAATGCTTACACTTGGTATGCCAACAAACAACTAGGCATTCGGAGTGATCATCCCTTCCTTCCGACTTGTACTGGCACACTTTGCGCCCCAAATTTCTGCACTGCAAAAGAATTGGCGACACAAGGGGCCAGGGATCACCAGTTGTTGTGATGCGCAAGTGAATAATGCCGTCACACAAATAATGTCCAGCCAAATATGGACAGATGATGCTTCAAGTAAGAATGCGTAAGCATGCTTCGATTGCAAGCAGCAGACCCTCTCCCACACTGTGACCAGGGCTACACGCAGACATTCACGTTGTGCTTAGCACATGGGTTCTGAATGTGTTCTCACTGCCAAGGCGTACAGGAGATCAAATTGGGCTGCAAGGAATACAGACAGTACAAAGGATACGCATACTATCCACTCCAGAAAATACAGAGTATCTGCAGTATGCTCTGTAGTACGCTTATCTACTGTGGTAAACAACAGCAAAGGACGTGTTTGAGTATCCTCTCTTGCCTTAGCACTGACAGTCGAGCTGAATGCACAGGCACACATCCAACAGCAGTCCCACATATGCTCACCAAATACCCACAGTCGTTCTGGGGCATGCGCAATACCAATCCACATTTCATTTCCTTGGATAAGAAGTTCCCAATCCATACGCCACTTGGTGGCCAACATAGTATTAGTCCACTGCTGAAATTTTAGCAGGAGATGTGGACCTGCTTGGCTACACTAACAATAACAGAGCCAAATTTATGCCATTTAAGCTGAAACGCAATGCCTGGCAATGTTCACGTTCACCAGTGTTTGTTCCCGCATACCTTTCTTCTCAACACCAAAGTACCGAACTTATTGCTGATGTGCACTGTATGCTCTGTAGATGCAGCTGATGTCTCCACCTTGGTAATTTGATACCAGGGTGCACATTGTGACTAGAATTCTGAATAAGGCACCATGCAACAGATTGAAAAGCAAAGGAATACCACAAGTAAGGGACACTTCACAATGGCAGTGTCTCATCCAGGAGTGCTCCTATGACACATGCATTGTTGCCAATAAGGAGAGCAGGTCGCCACAGACATCTCTGTCCCTGCAAACCAATGCTGCTTTATATGTGCACTTGACTATGGGTTCCAAGGCACACAACTCCAAAGGTTAATCGCTGCAAGTAAACTTGTGGATTGTGACAATAACAAGTGGCACAACAAGGACATTCCAACTGCTGTGCACTACCTGACTGTTGACCTTGTCAATCCCCATCCCTGGAAAACTGCACAGCACAGTTGGTTGCCATATTGCTGCAACGAAATGCACGGTGCTGATACTGCAGGGATACTCACCATGATTGAGCCTATCGCTTCCCAATGGCACCCAAGGCTAACCGTGGTTGGCCTGCCCAGCCTTCCTTCGACTCCTCTTCCTGTTGTTGTCGACCAAAGCGTTGGGGTCATTGGTGGTCCTTGCAGCCTCTGGCTGTTTGCTGCCCATGATGGGCTTTGAGCCATTGCAGGCAGCACTGGAAGCCTCCTTTATGCTATCCAGATCTGTTCCCAAAGTGTCCACCTCGTTTGGTGTGCATGAATTCTGTACAGGACTCAAGGCAGGTGTAGCGTACGACAGTAGCCTGTCTGCATATGCAGCTCCTGCAGAAAGTAAAGAATGCCTGCTCACCATGACCTGAGCCAGCAACAACAATCAGCAGGTGCATTGGCTGTGCTCCTCATAATCTGATCGATATACTATCAAAATCTTATTGTTTGTTGAGATGCGCATTGAAAGTATTGATTTGATCCAGGTAATTGCAAATCCTGCTGGTGTGCTCACTGAGCAAGTCTCACTCCCAAGACAAAGGCTTCCAAAATGCTTTGCTATGTAATGGGTTTCAAAAACACATACACACCACAGCACAGCACACGAGCATGGTACTGCTCTTCTCACAATCGCCTTCTTCACAAAACAGAGCACTTGGCAAAGCACAAATCTTCCATTGCCCTCCAGATCATAGAATACATTCTCCAAGAACAAGAACCTTTCTCTGTGCCGCCACAGTAATCAATGCCAGCCTATAAACATTGGAACGCTGCAAGTGCAGATGCAGCCTGTCGTGCATCAGTATCACTTCGACTAGATGAGCCCACATTGCAGAACGCCCCAGAGCTGTTGCAACAGATGTTCAAAGCTGCTGGGGCACTGAATATCTCGATAACCTCACAACCCACCATGTCCATAGAAGAACAATGGGCGCCCATCATACAGCTGGCTGCATTCTGCTGGCAAAGTTCTTCGGCTTTCCCAATAGCCTGAGGATTGGAACACCTTTGCTAGAAGTGGCATGCCTTGTAAGTCCCAGAACGTCACCTGTAGAGCAGTATACTCCATGCTCAGAGGCCTTCCCTCTGCTCAACACTACCCTGCCAACTAATTGAAAGAAAACAGAAGCCAGGGATCGTGTTGCAACTCAACTTGCATTGCTTTGTCCCATTCTCCATGGCAGCAAAATAATGCCCAAAACAACAGAAGAGAACTTTGCAAACAGCACTTATAACTCCGGATATGAATACACAGTACCAAAATACATGCAAACATCCTAACAAGAAAACAGAGGGGAAACAGATAGAGGAAAATTCTCCCTTGCTCCAGCCCCTACCTCTACACCACGTTTTTTATTGCCATCCCCATCAGGTGTAGAACTCCACTTCATCTCCTTGCAGCGTGCAGCAAGACCAGCAACTTCTCTGTGATCGCTCAAGTTCAAAAAGCAATATCGAGCATCCTCCCCTTGTATTTTCCTCACACACACAAAATTGTACTTTCCCTTGTGATTCACATCTAATGTGGCAACCACGTCCTTCACACCACATGCCTTTGGTACTGGCCCCAGCACCACCGTAGTCCGTTTGTCAGAGCCAGGCTTCGCTGCGGGGTTCACCTTCCTTGCAAACTTTTTTCGGGAGAAGTACTCTAGGCATCCCAAATCGTGTGCTGAGCCGTTCTTCATAGGCCCAGTAGACGCTTTGCTTCCAGAGCCAGGCCCGCTGGTGCTGTCCCTCTTCTTAGCCACCTCCACCTTCTTGGGTGCCTGCGCCCCCTTGGCTGGCTGTGCCTTCTGCGGCTGTGATGCTTTCTTGGGCTGTTCCTTCGCCTTTTTCCTAACAATTCTTCTGGGCTGTGGCCCAGTTGCTACCACAACCCTTGTCACAGACCCCGTGAGCTTTACTATCCGCTTGTTGCTCTGAACCTCCTCAACCCTCTGGCGCTTCTTGGATCCTAATGGGGAGGGCTGTGGTGCTGAATCTGCTGGTGCTGTTGGCAGGGAAGGATACTGGCCGTCTCCCTCAAATGTGCTTTTGAAAGTGGCAAGCAGCATGTCTACCTGGATGTTCGAAGCACCCAATTGCGATAATGAAGCATTACAATTGTCACAGGTTAGTACCACATAATTGTAATACCACATAAAAATCACTGGTGACTCCAACAGCCCTACACTCCTGTGGTACAATCCCCCACAGCTTCATGACAGCCTTGCATTGCGGTCTAGCTCAAACATGGGCCATGGACACACTGAACTCACAAGCAACTCACAACAGAGAGAAGGAATGGATCTGTGCATGGCAAGGCGCCCATGGCATACATGCTACCCAAGAGATTTGATACAGGAGGCTCTGAATGCAACAGAACAAGTACACAACAAGAGATTGTGAAGAAAAGAATGCATGCACCCCCAAAGGGCTCATGATCACACGAGAGTGCCCCCAAAATCGGATGCACCATTCAGTACAAGCTTCTGTTGCCAAGAGCACCCAAGAATCAACCTGTCTCTTGTTCTTTTCTCCTGAAATGACAAGTTGGGCAAACGCCCCAATAGAATGGACATATTGCTTGGTCGTTAGGGCACAATGCAACACGCAACATAGCCTGGTTGTTGTTCCACACCAGGACAGGCACGTTTATGAATGTCTCTCTGATGAAGATGCTTTCACATTCACAGACATCTCCCTGTGAGCCAACACATTCAAGAAAAGGGTTGGCTGCACTGAATTATCGCATTGTGCATATTGCTCCAGACCATTTTGGCCCCCTTGTTTGCTGTGCACTGTTGCAATCAGCAGCCCCACAGTGCTCAACGGCGCAACCACGACGCCTGGCAAGCCCCCATTGATCAGAAACTCCCATGCCCCCAGTCCACTGACGCCAACCCAGCTACCTGTTGCTGTGTGAGCTTGTAGTTGAACTTGTGCCCGCTGTAATAGTTCCCCCTAATCGCGGCCTTGAACTGTTTCTCGCTCAGTGCCGGATAGTTGATCAGCCTCCGCACCCGCACTTGGCACGGAAACCGCCCCTGGAAGGCCTCAGGAACAAACGTGTCCCCGCTCGTGACGGACTCAAAAACGCCCAGGAGCTCCTGAAAAGCAAGGAATGGGGTTGGCAGGTCGACAAGGGAAATATACAGTGCATGTGCAACACAAGAATCAAATCAGTTACGTTTGTTGTGAAGGTAAGCGGTGACTATTTCATGCATGCGCAATACAAGGCAGAATGACGAGGCATAATCCATATTTTTTCCAACCTTTTGGGAGGTGTAGGGGGAGCCTCGAGGACAAACAAGGCCGACACAAAGGAGACAAGGGGTGGTGCGCACAGCACCCATTCCAACACATAAGACAGGCCAGGCAATGGGCACTCGCGCCCTGATTCGCAAGACTGGCCAAAACATTGAAGTCACAAGAGTTCGTGACGGGCTTTGGACGGGGCTGCGGCGGGGCCACGGGACAACGAAAGCTCAGCGGAGGCGTCGCCGTCCCACGGATGCTTTCAAGGCTCTTGGTGGCTGAGGATCAGACCGCGAGCTGGGAGTGGAAGTCCTAAGCGGCCCGTGCTACTTGGAGCGAAGCGCTCTCCGGACGACCGCGAGCAATCTGGGCGCAAGCTGCCGAAAATTATGCCCACCCTCCCCAAAGCACACCAAACAGGCCTGGGAACGATTGAGCATCGACGCCCCAAGTTCCGCCGAGCCTGACGGCGCCCCGGAAGGTGACCGGCGGCCTCACCCGCCTGCTGTAATTGAACAGGAACAGCGGCATCTGCGGCAGGATGGCCGCCGCGAGCTGTTTGTTGGCGGCCGGCAGCGCGAACAGGTGCCTCTGCAGGCACTCCGCCATGGTGTCGTCGGTGCAGCCGAAGATGGCGCCGGCCATGGCCATCTTGACCGCGCCAGCCGGGCGACCCCCCAAGCCCAGGCGCAACCTCCGAAGCCGAAAGTTAGGGGGATAGCCGTGCCGGGGTCCCAGCGCAGAGCGCAGTTTGAATGGAGTTAAATGCTCAAATGCAGTTTTTCCGGCCACAGCTGCACTTTTCAGTCCACCACTGCGCTGCAATGTTTTCGCTGGAACCTTGCTACCTGTCAGAAGAGACTTGGTGAAGTTATCCATTTTTTCAACGTTGTTAGGGTCGTGAGTACTGAAAAAATTTGCTTTTCTTATTCAACCAGGACCAAACTATTCAAAACTTGGCCATGTTTTCAAACTATCGTAGTGACACTACAATACACGTATTTAAGTGGCAAAGCTTGCCGAGTTGCCAAGCACAATTTCTAACACTACTTGAACACTGTGTTAAACATACCATTAGCCACTTAATCCTGGTACGTCAGGATGGATTCGTGACTTACCCAGGAACATGGAAAAATGGCGTATCACGCTACCCAAGTTGTGTAACACAGCCTGTGCTTGACACCACATTGGATTGCATCATAGATGCCTGAAAAAAAACAGGTCTGATCGTACTACAGATGCATGCACCTGAGAGGAAGGGCATTGTGAAGCTTATACTGGAAGATGGTGGCAGGGCCTATGGTTAATGATCGAGGAAGCACTGAGGATCTAGCCTAAAGTTTTTTGGACATTTGACAGAGTTGGATGCTTGCTAATGTACACAAAGGGATTTCCTTGAATGGCATTGGGCTAAAGAGACAGTTGGTACATATGGAACAGGAGTTGAGTGCATATGGTGCTGATGAGGAGAACGGTGATAGTCACAAGGGTGTTGTACATATCGAGTTTGTATAAATTGTAGGTATACTTGCCCTTGTGATCAAGCCGGATGGAATCAGGGAACATGTATGTCATACATCGACGAGCCACTGTGCCATGAAAGGATGAAGAGTTTTGGAGGCGATTTGCCTGAGCTACTGAACATGCATTAAAGAAGGAGAATTGCCACAACAATGTCAAAACCTACTAACATACTTGAGCATCCGACAAAAAAAGGTTATCAAAACTCAAGAACGATCTGCCAAGTGCTAAGAAAACAGAATGGTTGGTCAGACAACTATGGCCTGTTGAAGGAACGCCTCATCATGCGCAGAATGACGGGCGATTCCCCTCCGGAGTCAGCCAGAGAAGCGGCGACCGCAAATCGCCCCCCTTCGGCCTTCGTTCGCAGCCCGCGCTCGCTGCCGGAACCTGCAGTACCTCCGCCTTGCAGCAGTCCCGTCCACGGTTCGCGATTCCTTCGACGCACCACGTAATGCGCCCTCCCTTTCGCCTCCCGTCGCTCCCCGTCAGCCCACGTCGCGCCAACGCCCTCGCCGGTGCACGGGGTCCTCCGCCCGCGATCGCACAGCCCTCACGGGGCGTGTCGACCCATCACCGCGCGCCTTAGTAAGGCGCCGGCGTCTGGAGATGCCCCACGTTCGGGGCCCGCGTCCGCACGCTTGCTAGTAGCTATCCCCTGCCGCGCAGCCTCACGGAAGCCACGCCTTGGGCGTCGGGGGCCTGCGATTTGCCAGGCGGTTCGGAACGCGGCCTTGCGGTACTCGGGGCACGGAACCATCACCAACAAGGATCTGTTACAATGTTGCCATGTCCAACTTTTGTATGCCAAACCACACATCGTACATTCCCATCGATCGTTTCACACATTCCAGCTGTCAGTCCACTCGTGATTCAACCCGACAGCTGCACTTCCATCGCATAATCCAACGTGCTTGTCAAGCACAACAGCTGTCTACTCTTGATTCAACCCACAGCTGTCCTTCCGCCAGATCATCCAATGCCGATGCCAATGACAGCTACCCGACAATCCTTCAATCAAATCAACTCTTGGACGAAGCGCACATAGCAGAAATGAAGTATGAACAGAGCATAGATGAAATCGACCGCGATTCATTATGCTATACTTCAACAGGCCATGAACAGGCCTTTGAGACACCCTCTGAAAAGACATTGTTCATATCTCCTGTCTGGGCATTAGATGTGCTGCCATAATTTCGGGCAAAGACTTTAGGTACAAGGTTTTAGTTAGCAGAGTTGCTGGTATGAATTGTATATGAACTGATGCAACAATATGGAATAATTGGAATAAATACACATTGAAGTCCTAACGTTACACGTTAAAAGGAATTAATAAAGACGATTCCTTTTCATGTCATAAAGTCAATATTAGTTGTTACTAATGTTGAGGCTAACAATTCTTCTATAATAATAATCAGAATAGGTAAGGGGTTAACTTAAACTATCCAATAAATCATATCCCTATTTCGAGGAAACAAAAAAAGGATTAACAATAGTAAACAGGCTACAGAAGATCGTGGGAGCTGTCAAATTGACAAGGGCCGTAGGTTAGCTTTTTTGTCCCTAATGCTACTTGAAATAAAAGCTATGCATAATGAGGGACTACACAAAGTAGCAAAAGAAATGCATCAATGACAAACCACATCATTGGGCGTGCCCCTAGTCTATCAACTTGGATAATCTTCAATGATGTTGTTTGATCATGTTGGTGCCATTATGGATAGTTGCTTCTCCTTGTAAGCAGGAATCCACATCATTGGTTGTCCTTCGATATGAAGAAGATGGAGAAGATAAAGTTTATCCTGAAGCAGATAAATTACAATATTAATATTTTGATTGAATACAAAAATGGAATGAAGGAAACCATAGACCTGATCGACAAAGCAGTAATGCATAGTCATGGAGCCCCAATAGTACCTTGGAAGGACGATGATGGTAATGGCAAAACTGAATGGGCTTGAAGGTATTGCTCGCATAACCAAAACTTATCTCGCCATGCATAGATTTTGCATGTCTATGCAAAGCTATGATGGCCCTAAGGGATACTAAAGTCCATGGCATGATGAATGGCTAGGCGCAGTGCTAGATGCAAAGGCCTGCTGAGTGATACGGGGTGTGAGCGAAGCACTAGCGCTAATGGCAGAGGTATGGGGAAGCAGGCAAGCGCAGATCCAAATAGATTATAGGCAATGGGGTACATGGTGTGCAAGAGATTGGACAAAAGGCCGTGGAACCGAATCAGGAGGGCGCAAATGCGATCATAGAGACCGCGGGGTAATCATGCTCATAGCATAATATGAGTAAAAGAAGGTTCAAGCATCTGGAAGATTCAGTAAGGATAAATACTAATGTACTGGTGATATGACAACCTAGGGATCATTTGGCTGATCGGGAGGAACTTAAAAAATTCTGGAAGTTTGGAGAATAGTTGGTTGGTCCATAAATAAAGATGGGGTTGTTGCTATTTTGATCAGCTCCCTATGGGATCCAGCACCCCTATGGCAATCAACACCCAATGGCGGTCAGTAGCAAATTTAAATTGGGACATTGTGAGGTTGGACCTGAGTGTAACAATAATTGGTCACCGCCAATCCTGTGTATCCTAACAAGGTGATCGCCCTGGATCAAGTGTGTGGAAAGGGAGAACATTACCCGCAATCATATCCCATTCAACTGAGTGAGCCACTATTCATCCCTAAGAAGGGAGGGCTTTTATACAAACCCTGAATCGTAAGGGTGATTATTGTGTTGTGTCATGCATTGCTGAATACCAATAACCAAGTGAGATGCGTGTGTGTTGCATTGAATTGGAAATCCAGGGTTGGGCTGCTTGAATCCATTCTACATCCCACAAAACCACTCCTTGTAATTTTGAATCCCACCTGCCTTTCCCACCAGATGCCATAAGTTAAACAAGCCTAGAAAGGGGAAGCGCCTTTTTGGGGAAGTATTGCAAACTTCTAGAATATAGCCTATAACTTCATACCAAGTCCAATGGTTGTGAATACTTCCATAACACCTCGTTCATATAATAAGTGGAATCTAAAGAGGGTGCGACCCAAAAAAAACAAAAATATGCAAACACCTCATTACAAGCGCACTAAGACTATATGCCCCTCAACACTGGTTAAAGCAAAACTAGATATAAAATAGGGAGATCACAACAGTCGACCATTAACCAAAGATGAGGCAATGTAGCTCTGCAAGAGTTGGCTAAAGGCCATAGGGAAGCAGAGCTGGGCCTGGCCATATGGGATAGGAACGGGAACAGGGATAGTGTCTGTTCCCGTCCCAGGAACAGACCCATTCCCATTCCCATCCCAGTCCGTCCCAGTCTGTTCTAGTCCGTTCCTGTGCCATTCCCCGGGAACGGATTTGGACCAGGCCAGAACGGTGTTGGAACGGATCTGTTTCTACCCAGGAATAGATCCATCCTGGCTCAGGAATGGATATGTTCCTGATATGGAACGGCCCCATGCTTGTCCGCTGAGGTCCGTTCCTGTCCGTTCCTGTCCGTTCCCTAAGAATGAACCATACGAATTGGAGGTCTTATGGGTTTGGGGGGGGGGGCATTGGCGGACCAGTGCAAGTTTGGGAGGTATTCATAAGGCCGGATTCAGGGCCAGGAGACACATTTTCATAGGGACACCTGGCTTGCAGCAAAGGCAACATGCACATTGCCCAATGTACAAGCTGGACATATAGCAAAAATTAAAACAAGTCACACACATGCCCATAAGCCAATTCGAGACAAGCCAATGGAACCCGGAAAATTACAACTTGTAATTTACAAGTTAGTGTCGCCGGACAAGAACATTAGCTGCTCAATGCGTTCACCCCCCAGAGATGCCCGCCAAGATTGCACAGTATGGCCAGATACCAAGAAGCCCCATTCTGATGCACCACTTCTGGCTGGCACACACAGTGAGTGCCGGGCCACCCACGCCACTATGAGCCATCGAGCACTATTCCATGCTCAATAATTTAGTGTATCTTCCTCTTGTGGAGTACCCAGCTCACACAAACTCTAGCGTTCTGTTAGAAACTCCTGAGCGTGTCACTATATCAATCATTGTGTGGCATCCGTCAGTTCCCCGCCTGCTGCAGTGCCCGCAGGCTGGCTA